TCGAAAGTTCAGGTTCAATTTCAACCTCTCGTTTTGTGAGATATTCATTATTGTTTTCTTGACGATAATATTTTATAATTTGCCTTCAATAAGTTATTAAGCCTTTCATTCTCCAAGATCACCAATGAGAATACATCGAAGCTTACTAACCACATCATTAATCGTTGACAGAGAAAAAATTTAGACGTTTCTAAATGAAAGCTAGAATCAGACAATTGGAATGTGTACTTAGGCAACGAACTGGTAAAAAACAAGAAAACGTATATATACATATATAACTGCTTATCTAGATAAGCTCTATCTGGCTTTTAAAAGATTCTAAATTCTTCTATGTCTGTATAAATTTGGCATAGAATGTTTATGAAACGTCAACTGAATTAAACTATCTCTACTTTATGATCATTGATATTTGCATATTGTTTAATAATCAAGTAGTTTGTTATTTATAATCACATTAATTTTTATTTACTGAAATATTATTATTGTACTTGACCTCAATTGTTAATAAAACCTTGTAAAGAACCATGTTAGACAAATACTTTTTGTGAAGTTATCTAATAGATAACATAACTCACTAATATAAAAAAACAATTTAATGTTAGTTATCTTTCAAGAGGTTTCAATTTTTGTAATTTAAAGGAGCAGAATAATGTTAAAGCAAAAATATGATTTATTCATTTTCAAATTGCTTCAGTAAGTAAGGTTACTAAATACGATTCACTATTCATTTAGGTTTGGTGACAGTAGATTATTTATTACAGTACAGTTGTGATATATGTTATTTGAACAATGATATTTAACTAATGAGCAATGAAAGTATAAAAATGGTCTTTAATTTTGACGTTGAATCTTGTACATGAACGAATCAATTTTTTAAGTGAGATTATTACTCTCAAACTGTTATTATCCTTGGAATTTTAAATTAGTTCTGTTACTTTACTACGTGTTCAAAAAACTATCAATGATTTATTTTCTTTGGCCATTGTAATCAATACTAAGTGGTTAGTTGCGACACATCAGATTAGAATAAAAGTGAGTATTAAATAATAAAATGTTTCATTGTGATCACGAACCAATGAAAGTTGGCCTAACGTTGATCAGTTCACGATCTCAATAAAAACTCAACGATCTTCACAACTCTATACTGATAACAAACTGCTTGTTACGCGATAACGATTACTATCATATATTTAGTCTGTGATAGTCATTTGAGATACAGAATGATTCAGAATAATGTCCCTATGAAATTTAGTAATATGCTTTGCCCAATAAAACAGAGTAAACCTCCTTAATGCTTCAGGCTTATCTTATTGATGAATGCAAATAAATGAAGTAAAATTATGTCTTCAGCTTTCTGCTGATCTCATTGAATTATCAAACATATTCATTATTATTTAAGGCAATAAATTAAAAATCGAAATATAGAAAATAAATTTTATAAACAAAAGTTTTTACGCTTTTCAGAATCAAACAACTACTTTTTTGATGAATATAAAAGCAGACATAATCAAAATGATCAAGTTTGGAATTTCTTTCATATCAATTCATCTTCAGATTTTCTAGTAATAACATAATACAAACCAATCAATGGGAAAATGTTCTCAATCAACTACATAAAATATCTCTTTGTTCTGACATATTAATCTAAAGTGTTAAAGTAGGATCATGTGAAAATAGCTACGTTTCCTGAAATAAATTCTTCTATTTTTACGTTTTACATCAACAATTCGAAAATAGTTAAATGCAAAATCAATGTAACCTTATAAAATAAAAAATATATTCACAAACAGACAATGAATTCACAAAAGCAAAGGCAATCGAAAAAGAATTTTTATGACAACAGCTCATCATCCATATTATTAAGTCAGTAATTGTTTGTGAAAATATTGCGTAGTACATTTACTTCATAAGCCTATCTATTTAAACATTATCAGAGATGTGAAAACAGTCACGTTTAAATGAACAATAACCATCAATCAACAATGGTTTACTTAAATAACAATAATAAGTATTGTACAAAGCGTTGTTTTATTCTATTAAGTTTCTCAAGTGATATTGTCTTGTCTATTTTTATCTGAAGCATTCTTTTTAGTTTACTACATACTAAATGTCATAATTTTGTTCTTTTCACATACTTTTGTCTTAAAATTTCTCTGTGCGAAATTTATGTCTTTTCATTCAACCAATTTATTCAGTTGGATTCAGTTTATTTTTCTGAATTAGGCGTAATCGTAATAAGAAATATTTTTACTAAAAGCATAAGTTGATTCCCATTTGAATGATACCTACATTAAGCTAGTAGTCTAGTCAAGAGGTTATAATTAGTTGAAATGATTGTACACCATGAGCTTTCATCATAACTACACTAAGTAGACGTACTTGATTTTTCAATAATACCCCTATTTCTATTAACCTTGTTCAGTCTATGCAGTGACAGCTAATGTTAATGCATTTATGACCTAGATATTTTCCATTTTGAAATGCGATTTCTCACACACGTTCTTGTGTCCAACAAGGATTTATATTCTTAGCCCCATTATTAAAGCTGACTGCTAGTACACTGGTGACATTTAAATAGGTGACATCAGGAACAAAACTTCAGAAGTACCATTTTAATCCGATGTCAGATTATAGCCAATAATTTCATTACCCACCTTTTTATTTATTGATGTTTTTTGGCATACTTAACAAACTAGATCCATTACACGAAGCTCTATGACACAAACTTTTATTTGTTTAGATAAAAAATATAGCAAAAATGTATTCAACACAGCTGTTACCTCAACAGTTTTAGATATCAGATTAAGCGTAAAAAGTATTTGCTTAAACCTTACATATTTTTTAATAAAATTTTTAGACTTGCAAATGTCGGTTTTTTCTTTGTTTCAGCTAAGCGCACTTAAACATCTTGATAGAAAATTACAGTAGCTAATTATGGCTATACTCCAAAGAAACAAAAAACAACATAAGCTAAGAATAATTTAATGATAACATCTAATCTTATCGACCACCCACACTTCGAAAACGGCATTTAAGTAAATATTGTCAATTAAGTTTCATAAACTGTTGGTGTTTACAGACATCAAATGCTAAGCATGTCTTTATTATGTACCTTAATATTTTTCTAGTTTTTAGAAAAATGTTGACTTGTGTATCCTATTTGTGGAATGTAGTTGTGGCGTTTATCTAACAGTTGTAACTACACTATCCTCATTAGCGTAAAGCGCATACGAACATTTTAGTGCTTAGTAGTAAAAATTTCTAGAGTAACACCTTAACAGCATAAATTTGTATTAATAACTAGTTCTAAAAACCAGTGTTTTGTTTGTAACTTAAACTAGTATTCTTGTTTCTGGAACTGGGAAAATGGATATTAAATTATTTAGCTTGGAAATTTAGGTTAAAATACGTTTACAGAGTTAGCACTTCACGCTTAATAGACTCAGTCCGTCTGACTGTACAAGTCACCAAACAACAACCCATTTAATCTTCCTGTTTGCACGTTGAAAGCGTTAATCGTGATAATATATTATTCACTATTTACTGACAAATTCTTAAAAGTTGCAGAAGAGAAGAATTTCTTTGTTCTAAATTCTTGATTCCAGCTTAAGCTTCAGACTTCAAAATAAATGCGACCATCATTTGACAACTGGCTTGTGGTTATATCAATACTTCTAGTCAAGTCATTTTAAATCTAGTGCAAATTCATTCTGACACTTCAAGCCATGGATTATTACACACTTAAACCCCTGTTTTCTAATGATAAGTATTACACAAGATGAAGATAGTAAACGCTGTTTATATTAATTATATGCATAGCATAGTATCTCACTGATCATTTGGCTTAAAAATTTAAAAGTAATCTGGGGTTACTGATGACCATCGAATAGCTTATGCAAAGTCTGAATTTCTGATCTCTATAGAGTTTTGTTTGCTGTATACCTCTATTTTTGCATTTTTATTCAAACCACTAAAATGAACGTGGATATAGATTTTGACTAACTACTGATAAAATACTGTGGCTCGTCTAGTTTTCAATATGTAAATTTTCAAACTTCATATCAAAAGTACTTCATAAATGGTTCCAAATTGAAATGACTTGGTCAGTGAGCAGATGAAAAATAATCATACATAGAAATACTGCCGAATAAATCTCAAAGTTTGTATTCAAAATCATGACTGACTTTAGCTATACCAAGGGGCGACGAGTAACTGTTTTGTCCTATTACGAGAGTCCTCAATAATGTGAATTCACAGGCTAGAGGGAAACCAAACCTAGCATATTTAGCTCTCATAACTCTCCTATACACTCAGACAGCTGAGATGAAGTCCAACGCTTTACACTTCTACCTTCTGTCAGTCTGCTATGTTATGTAATTAATAACTGCCAAAGGCGGTAGCTGTCCTACATTCTACAAATATTCGAAAAAGTGCTTCTAACTAGGAGACATTATGTACCATGATCAAGTGCACGATCAGAGACTTGTTAAAACGAAGAATAAGACGAATATTTTATTAATGTTATTGAAACCATGAAACAACCTAGGTTAAACACGCACTGAAAACTAGCAAGCTAGGGACAGATGTTTTGCCTTAGTATGAGACACTTCGACAGTGCACATCTATGACTCCACCCTGAATCAAACCTGGGGCTCTTAGTTCTTGAGGTAAACCTAAAGTTTAAAACCCTGTGACCTCATCCAGTTGTGGATATATCTATCATCAATCAACCCGAGACACTTATTCGTCGTGTTTCATTGTATTTGATGAGTACGTGCTTCACACCCGATAGAGACGAACTTCATTTATCATAGATTCTTACTCAAATTTCGGAAATTTAATCTCAAACCTAGTCATTATTACTGGAAAGTAAGAAACAAATTCGTTTAGAACTTCTTAAACACCTTATTGTGTGGTAAAATGTTCTATTTTTTAATTATGAAATACATTTTTCCCTTTACTACAGTTACCGTCTCTTTTTATCCACTTTTGTTAACTAGTCGAAGTTGCAGTCAAGGTTATTGACAGAACTAAATTTGATGAGAAAACTCGACGCTTACTTTCGCAAGAACTAACAAACATGGAACGTTTACATCATCCACACATAATTCGTGCATATGAAGCACATGAGGTATTACAACGTTGGCATTTAGTTATGGAATATGCGCCTAAAGGTGAACTTAATTCATATTTAAAACGATCTGGTCGATTGGATGAAAAAACATCAAAAAATTATTCTTCACAAATACTTTCAGCTCTTGATCACTTAGTAAGTTATTTAACTGATATATATGAAAAGAATAAGATAATATTTTATTAACTGGTCAATAGAAACAGCATAACTTAAATATTCAAATTATTTAATTGCAAATGTTAGGCTAGAACCTCAGTCATAGTTTTGTCCAAAACAACAAGAAATCTGTATCTATTTATTTTACCCATCAAAACTTTAAAAAAATTCATAGAACTTTATTCCTCGTTTTGTTGAAAATCATGGTTACCTCACAAAAATGACCAAACATTAAAATTCTCAACGTGAATCATCTCTCCACTTTGGGATTTTTGTACACGTTCCATATTTATATCTTTGTTTAATCAGAATTGTTGAATTATTAGTTTGTTGATATTAATAATATTAATAGCTCTTTATAACTCACCAGACTTATTCACATGAATTTTCAACAGTGTTTCTAACTCCAAATTATCATTTAGTAAAAATTTAATATGCAGATATCTGTACCATGGATTTCAACATCCTTGAGCTGATTTAATAAGAATTCTATTTCAGTACTTTGAGTATTCAGCCGTTGGATGCCACGTTGATGGTCTAGAGACTAGTCATTCGAGCGCAAGACTAATGGTCGTAGGTTCTTTTCTCGGATTAGGGTTTGTAGATGTTCACCGCTAAGGAATCCTGTACTAGAACGAAAAGGACGTTCACACCTTCCAATGGTGATCTAGCTAATATTAGTTCGTTATTTAAATCATTTGTTGTATAACCGATTTCCGTTCACTCTTCAACTACAAATTTTAAATAACATTATGAGATGAATGAAAGTTTAGAAGAGTCATTTAGGTAGTTGAGGTTGATCAACTAAAATCAGTGGACGTGGTTTTCTTGGGAATTTACACTGGTCCACAAAGCGTACCTTCATTCGTGAAGAATATTGACTTTAAATTATTTCGGTTTATAGTTGTTTAAACCAAATGCAATCATCTTGCTTAGCACATTTAATTTCTTTTTCATAAGTCATTTAGTATCACCAATTTCTAACCAAGTTTATTTGAGTTTGTATCATATATCTGTTGAAATAAAAATAAATCTTGGAACCATTTGTTTAACAAGAATGTTCAGTCTTATTCTATAGAATTTCTTCACTGTTGAAGCAAATGTAGTCAGCGTAATTGTCAGAATACTAAAATATTTCCAAACATTCCTGTTGTATTATGGAATGGATTTTAAATATTACAGCCTCTTAACATTAATAATCGAAGACAATGTCGTACACTAATTTGACACTCTTATTTATGTATTGATAAAAAGGTTTGTAGATTAGGTGAGTGTTTGTGATAATGCTGAGTCCTCCAAGCTGAATGATTCAATCCCATAGCTTCTGTTTTTATTCTGGACATAATCGGCACCCACTGCCATTCAACTTGTATTTGTTCATAGGAGCGAAAAAAACTTCTTAATTAAACTTCTCAGCCAAAAAACACATTACTAAAAATATATTTTTGTTAAGTACCATCAATAGGCCAGCTGTACCAATTGCCATCTAATCAGATGTTTAAATTATTACCCAATTGTCAGTATTTGTTTAAAAAAACTGAGGTCATTATCCACGAAAAATGTAGTATTTTTCTTCCCACCAGCAATTGTAACTCGATCGAAAGGGAATTCAAATTCGTTATTAAGGGTTACGTCTGTTCTACTGTAAACAAACTACATTTTACTCTAACACTTTACTAGTAATTTTCTAGTTGACGTCTAGTTTCGAAGATTTATCTTGAGAGACGAAGAATTAGGAAGAAACTGTGAGCTAAGTAAGAAGAAACGTCACTTTTGGTCATTCATTCGGTACAAACTTTACCGAGTAATGTGAGCAACGCTGATAAATAACTAGAGAATTTAACAACTTTTAGGCGTGAGGCCACAAAATATCCAGATTTAATAGAAAATTAGATTATCAATTTCATTTTTAGTTTCGATTTAGTACCCAGACTTAAAAAGGAGCATATACTTGAACAACAAGTTTAGCTAAACATGCCAATATTGCAATATAATTTACTCGCAAACTAATAAAGGCAGGCAGCTTCAAAAGGACACTAATTTATGATCTAGTCACATAAATAATAATATTTTCACGTATTACCGTTTTAAAATGGGACTTTTAAAAGCCTAAAAGTTTACAAATATGAAATAGATTAAAACAAAAGTCGATATAACTTGTATTGTGAAAAACTAACATTTATAATCAATCAAATATTTTGAAGGCAGTATTTTTACCCAGTTTTTATTATGTAAAGACCTACAACTGAACAAGTTTTTTTCTTATTATCTTCATTTAAGTACTCCATATAAACTACACATCATAGTTTTATGTTTCAATTTCAGCGTATTTCCTTATTGCTTCTTAATAACTATTGAACTAGTTCATAAATTAAACTGTCAATCATATACACATTAAGTTATACAAGCAATGTTCATCAATGTGACTTAATAAAATTACAATAATCCTAACTAGACTGATTATTTAAGTGTATTCAAATGTTAAGATGTACATGATTTGTACACTTAATGAGCGCAGAGAACAAAAATCCATCAAAATCATCCACCTGAGCGACAAATCTTCTCCATCATCTCAAAGGTGATAATTAAATAATAATATTTTTAATGTGTCATAAAATGATTATGTATTTTGTATTTTTTGTCTACTGACTACTTACAAGATAATACGAGTGCATACATAATTTCATACAATTTTTCCCACTTATAAATTTGACTAAAAAGCAAGAACAGTAAATGTAGCAGGATAACATGAATTCATCATATTTCCTAGTTTCTCGTCAACTGCTTACAACTTAAACATAATAATATTGATCTTTAAACATCAGTATGCATACTTTATATCATAATATCGGTAGGGTTCTCATCAATGAAGATTAATGAAAAGAGCAGTAAGTACGAAAGAACGATAAGAAATATTCATATGTTAATTGGCATGGGGTAAGCAACCCCATCCAATAGAAAACAACCATGCTAAAAAAATCTAAAAAGAATAAAAAAGTTAAATCATTTAAACACTGTCCTGCGAGTTGAAGGTAGAGTTATGACGCCTCATGGTGAAAGCCATGATTCTTTGGAATTCACGAGGCCGATATCCCTTCTAACAACCAGAGCAACAATTAATATAGATACATGAAATATTCGAACAATGTGGGGAGACCGGAAAGACCCGGTCAAATAACTGACAAAAATGAGGAGATACAACTTGACGGTGCTCGGAATAAATAATACCCATTGGACCAAAGCTGGACAGAAAATGATAGATTCGGGAGGAATGCTGCTTTACCTTGTTCACGAGAAAGAGAGTGCTCCACACACTTAGAGTTGTTTTGATGCTTATAGGACGAAAACTTCATAGACCCAAGATCATCAAAGCATCTTTCAAAACTAAGAAGGAGGGAGTCACAATGAATGCTATCCAACGTTATGCACCCGCCAATGATAGCAACGATAATGATAAAGATCAGTTTTACAAGAGGCTTTAAATTCATAGTAAGGTGCACAGGAAACGACCTGACCATCCTTATAATAGACCTAAACGCCAAAGTAGGGATGTATAACGCCAGGTATGAAGATATCATGAGGCATCATGGACTGACTGAGAGGAGAGAACGAGAATGATGACAGATTTATAAATTTATATGCACTTACCAAAATGGTTGTAGGCGGCACAACATTCCCCTACGAACGCATACACATAACTACATGGATCTTATCGAATCACACTACACTATCATATTTGCACCACTAAAACATTCAGATGGTCAATGGAAACCGTGTTGTCCAGGAGAGGAGTTGACATAGCCTTAGAGCACCACTAGTTGATGGTTGCCAAGATAAAACTGAAGCTAAAAAACACTAGAAAACTGGGGAAACAGCATTACAAAGACTCAATACAGTTTTGTTTCGGCATAATAACTAACTCAACAAACTCAAGATAGTTCTCAACAACAGATCACAAGCCTTACAGGATCTACTCAAGGAAGATGAAACTACTATTGAAAACAATCGGAAGGAGATCAAAGAAACACTAACTTCAATGTGTTAGGAGGCTCTGAGCTGCAACAAGCATCATAATAAGAAGTGAATCTCTATGAAAACCCTGGACAGAATCCAAAACAGGAAGAACAAAACGAAGCAATCAGCAACATTCGAACAAGGGAAGAGAAAGACAAGGTACAAGCTGGATACACAGAAGCAAACATGCAAGAGAAGAGCCTTAGAACTGACAAGTGGAAATATATGAAAGATCTAGCAACAACAGCGGAAGAAGCTGCAACAGAAAGAAATATCAGACAACTATATGACACAACGAAGAAACCGACATGAAACGTAGTCAACCAGAGAGACCGGTCAAGGACAAACAAGGCAGGCTAGTCGTTAAGATTCATGAAGAAAAGAACAAATGCGCAGAACACTCTGAAGAACTACTGAGTCGGCCAGCTTCATTGAATCCACTGGACATCGAAACAACGCCAACAGACCTTCCCATAGGTGTCACTTCACTAATGATCGAGGAAATCAGGACAGCTACCAAACAAGCAGACAGACCTGAAAATATACCAGCTGAAGCACTGAAGTCAGACATAGAAGCAATTGCAAACATGCTACAAGTCCTATACATGAAGATTTGGAAGGAGGATCATGTGCCGACGAACTGGAAAGAAGGATACCTCATCAAGATATCAAAGTAAGGAGATCTAAGCAAATGTAAAAACTACAGAGGTATCACACTACTATGGGTACCAGGAGAAGTTTACTATAGAGTATTGCTGAACTGGATGAAAGATTCAGTAGACACCGTACTTCGAGATCAACAGACCGAATTCCGTAAGGATCGGTTGTGCACAGACCGAATCACGACACTATGGATCATTGTTGAACAATCAACTAAATGAAACTAGTCACTTTACATCAAATTCCTTGACTATGAGAAGGTGTTTGAGAACGTGGATAGGAGAACCTTACGAAACCTTCTTTGA